AAAAAGAGTTAAATCACATAATGCCGAAGGAGTTACAAGTTGATGTAACAATTCAGGAGAAAAGGTTATCAAAATTAAAGGCAAAAAATTGCGCTTACAAGTTATATCATACCACAGTTGAGAGCTTTGGTTTTAAAGTCGATTTTTCTCCAGAATTTTAAATCGGATTAGTTAATAGGATGAAACATCAGATTATCTGCTGAGAAGATTATGGCACCAGAAAATGCAACAAAAAATATCTTGGATAGGCGATTTGCTGAAGAAAATCGGAGTGCTCGTACAAGAATTCAGTCATTTATGGAATAATTAGATTACATTGAGACTAGTTCGTACCTTGCATGGGATTTTTATAAATCTAATATTGGCATAAATAAATAAAAAGTATGGTTGCTAGCCGTCAGTCTAAGCTTATGGCTATAAAATACAGTGTAGAATCCCCTCTAACATTAGAAGATATTGGGCTTGATGAAGAAAAGTGGATAAACTGCTGGTTCGACTTAGTTTTCATAACTTAGTCAGAGCATCAGGAAGACCTTGTGGAACGTACCTAGTTATGCTGTCTCTGCCATATTATTCGAAATTTCTAGCATCAGAATATTGACTTGATGCATTTCCAAACGTTTCGCCCGCATCGTATTCAGAATCGTCATTGATAGGCGTCATCGTTAGCACAGAGTTCGAACTTATCAAAGTGACTCCTCACTGACGATGCCAGCGAAACTTTTGGAAATGTATCAAGTCTGATGCCGTAAATAATGAATACTATAAAAGAAGACGCATGACTGGGTACACTACATAAAGTCTCCCTAATCCTCAGATCAAATTGCGAAAACAAGGTCAATACAACACTAGAAAGCAAAAGGAGACTGCGACCAAACAGAAGACTCCATCATCTTTGTATTCATATATACGATAACTGATACAGTTAGAAATCTGGGCTGTATGGTTAGAAGCCTTATTAAATAAGCCACAAACTAGGCAATCGCCGTAAATTATTCGTAGTGAGGGATGAAATTCAGTCTACTTTAACAAGTTACTCTAAATCTAGTGTTTATAAAGTTATTTTTGTAGAAAAAAGTGTTAATAGCTTTATTATTCAATATAGGAATGTGATCACAAGAAATAAAATCAAAAAAGATGTAAATAATTAGAATCAAGCAATTTTTCTAAACAATGAACAATGAGAAAGGCCAATGAATAGGATGAAACTAAATAGTTTGATCAAAATTAAGCGAAGATTGAAAAATTAATATAAAAATTGCGGCACTTAATCAGGCGAGCATTATTAAAACTCAGCGCTCAGGTAATTTAAACGTTCGTCTATTTAGTTGATAACGGCTTACTGCTTCAAATCCTCTGATAAGAGATTTCTGAGGGATTACTAAATTTCGGAAGGGGTCGAGACTTTCTTTTGGATGAGTCGGCAAGTATCCCCCCCATAGACAATACCACATAAGTACAAAACGTTGTAGCAGCCAGATGTAGAAAAGAGATCAGATAATTCTTGAAAGGAAGGCATAACTGAGGAAGAGTCAGTTTCTCCTTATAAACTGTTGTAATGTTCTACTACACTAAAGGGGTACCCAACTTTTTCGCAAGCTAAAGGGAAAGCAAAATAAGGGACCAAGATGGATGGTTTATCTGCCTATCCCTCCTTAAATAACAATCTCCCCTTATCCTGTTACTGAGTAGTGAAACTTAATTATTTATTAGTCTTAATTGCTAATTTGAGATGTATCACCAATTTCGTTTGAGGTGATGAAGGACTGGTAGTGAAATTTTCCCACAATGATATGAGTAGAGCTGGCTTTTACAAATGTTGTTCTCATCGAGGGTGGACTGCAGTTTCGACCTCGAATAGAGCTTATCAATAACCCTAGCGTGAGTCGAATCCTGACAGTGTAACATGTGAGCTTGAGACGTTAACCGCTCGGCGACCTTGCCACGAGTGCCCTTTGGTCACAGGGTTACAGGATCACAGGGCAGACGTCACTTTCAAGGAAGGCTAGACCTTTTCACATATCACAATCTTTGGTGGGCTTGCGATGGTGCAAACGTATTTTTGCCATAAAAATCGACAATATTACTCTAGTTATACGAAAAATAAATGATTTAGTCGAATGATATAGCAAAAATACGTTTGCTTCATCGATAATTCCACAAAATAATGTGATATGGGAAAAGGCCTGATCTTCCTTGAAATTCATATCTGCCCTATGACCCAAGGACACTCGTAACAATGTGGCCATGTGATTAACGTGTCAGGTTCACATGCTGCACTGTCAAGGATCAGCTACCGCTGGGGGTGCTGATAAGACTGATGCGAGGTCTAAACTGCAGTCCACCCCAGCCGGGATGAGAACAACTGTTGGGAAAGCAAGGCTCTGTGAAATTTAATGGAAACGTCAGCTCTACTCATTTCATTGTGATAAAATTCTACTACCAGTACTTCGTTACCTTAAAGGAAATAGGGTGAATACATCTCATATAAGTGATTTATTGGTTGTCTCGAAACCCTATATCTATGAATAGTTAAGAAGCCAACAAAGAAATATGCGTGCGTGGGTTTCCTAAGTAAGAAGATAATATAACCTTATTTTCTCACTAATACGCCTAAAAATGGCAGTTTATGCTTCTTTTCCAACTCCATAGTACAATTAGTAATATAAGTCAATCTATTTATTAGCTAATCTACCTTTGCCGCGTTGCCAAGCTACAAAGTAATCGTCCATGTATGTAACGAACAACTTTAGAACTGGGGGTGCCTCTTGAAACAAATGAAACTCTAAATAAGCAATGTAGTTACTAGCTAAAATGAAAAGCTAAACAAGATCCCACAGCCAAGTCTCGTGTCTGCTCATATAAATTACCAATGAAGGTAAAATATAAACTCTTCGTGGCCAGTTTTCATAATCTAATAGTTAAAATCAGCCTAAATTTGTACATCTTATGAGCTCAGGATGTTGAACTACGGTTAATTTTAAAGCCTTTATTGTTCCAATATTAATGGACATAGACACCACATCAAAACTTACCAAAAATCTTCTCCTAACGTCTGATCATCTACTAACTTTATAACTTGATTATCAAAACCCCCACGTTTAGGAAATCTGCTTTATCTAGGAAGTAAACCTAATGCTTTATGCATCTCGCTACCTCTATTATTCACACTGATTCTAAGTGAGATACCTTCCTCTGGGGTTTTGGGGTCTGAAGAAGTATGTTCACCTTTCACTTTAAAAGTTCTCTGCTGCTTATACATTATTTCAAAGAATCCTTAAGTCTAGCCCTAAAGTCTTCTGCTGCTCCCTCACTATAGTGATATATGCTTCTCAGTCGTCCAACTCATGTAAGTTTCCTTGCATAGTCAGTTCTAGCTATTATTACCACTGCTTCATTTTTGTCTTTCTTTAATATTAATTGGTATCTTCCTGTCAATTTCCTTACAATAGCCTCTGCAAGCCCGTTAAGTAAGTTTGCAGCACAATAAAAAAACCTTCATTCCAAGGCAATCCTCTTTCTATGTCGAGTGAGTCCAATTTATTAATTCCAACTACACAACTTTTCCTTCGAAATAAAATTTAGAGTCAAACTAAATGAAATTCTTATTTTAAAAACAATTAAACAGGCTTTGGAGTGAATAGAGCTCAAGTGGCTGAGTGAATTAAGAGGAATTACTGTATGAAAAACCCAGTTGGCCAACACAACAAAGTAAATATTATGAAATTTGTAATGTATCCTAGTTGGTGGGATTATTCAACAGTATAAATTATTTACACGGCTCACAAACAAATAGTTAATAATATTAAGTACTATAAGCGAAATCTAAAACTGCAAAACACATAAAATAAAGATAGATAATTGATAAAGATCTGGGAAACAAGATTTGAATACCCCATTCAACTGCTTCACGAGACTCATCAAAGACTGCTTCAGGTTCAATTTTGGTTCCCGGCTCCAATGTGGAAGGGGTCAACACCAGCACAGCACCATAATTACTTCCCTGTCCGTAATAGTTAGAGGCAGAGAAAACAGTAATAACCCGACCTTCATGACTAAGCCGCCAGCCCTCTTGACAACACTCGTGTGACCGGATCAATCGAACCAAATGTTCACGAGAGAGCAGGCGTCGAGTGACGTCCGGGCCAAAGTAACAGCCACCCCCACGAAACACATTTGGACGACAGCCATCTTTTTGCTGTGGGTCACTCCATAACATATCTAGAAGCTGGCAGAGCATAGAATAAAAAGGAAGGACTTGAGAAGGATGGTGGGTAATCTTTTAAAGCATTTTAAATTAATCAGCTTCCCGAAGGTATTACATTTTGTTTTGCATAGTTTTGCCTTTGCCACAACCACAACGGAAACACCTGAATGCTCCAGAATAAAATAGACTAAAATCGTGTGGTAAGGATTAAACATATAACTTTAATCCATCTGTTCAAGTTTATTTGTTTTTATAAGATCTTTAATCAGTAAGAGACTCAATTCACTTGTCTTTTATCTTAAGGCTGTAAAATGGTTTTATCATGCAGCAATTGTAGTTCTGGCAATAACTATAATCTCGAATAGGCTAGCGAAATTTATATGCTCGAAACACAACAAGGTAAATGGCAGACTTCGGAAAGTCTAAAGATCTTGAAAATAGAAGAGTATATCCTGGAATCATGGCGTAGTTGGAAGAAGTCATTAACACGACACATTAACCTGACAATAAGGACCGCATTTGCCCTTTAATGACAATATCTATGAGCAAATATTTAGACTTTCTATTGGATTTTTACTCTCCCCTCTTTTGGCAAACGAATACATAGGCCAATTGAAAAAGGAATTCAAGAAGACATCGCTGCAACCAAGAGTGTCTATGCGATAATCGGATGATTACTTTGCACTCTGGTCACATAGTAAAGAAAATTTATATGAATTCCTCAACTTTATGATCCGACTTGATGAAAGAATTAACTTCACATTGGAGGTGAAGGAAGATAAGCGTTTACCTTTTGTGAATGTTGAGGTCATCCGCTACAACAGGACCCTCAATGAGAAACTATTTTGGAAGAAATCATAGATGAGGAGATCGGAATAATAAGGGCTAAAGGACATGGAGTTCTTGGACGAGGAATTGAAGAAAGTGACTAACATTTTCCTAAGTAACAAGTAGACCAGAAAAATCATACAAAGAATATCGGGTTCATAAAAAGCGGGTAGCAGCCTGAATATCATGAAAATAAAATCGGGAATCGGGAGCATGTCCAAAAGTTGATATATCTGCCCTCCTGTGAGC